TATCCTTGGCAAGCTCCAGGAGAGTGAAGATCACTGTATAGCTGTACAATAAAGCAAGAAGGACAGCAGCTGATGGTGAACTGAGATAACTTTAAGGCTCAGCAGCAGGACAGCTGAAATGAATAATGGCAGCATCACATTACCATTTAAGTAGAGACAAGGAGATTAGCAATCAGATCATGACTTAGTTAGCCTCAGCTGTGTCAAAGGGCTCAGAAAGTTAAAAGGAGGGCAGGCAGAGCTGGTGAGTTTGGCCTGTGGAAAGAAGAGCAAGCAGGCTGCCCTTCAGGGGCTATGCAGTGAATTGGTCACTGGATGACTGCTCTAAGAAGGGCTATCAGCTGAGGACTGTGTCTTCATCCTAGGGGAGAACCCCCAGCTTGGCAGATGCTGCAGACCAGAAACAGAGCCATGGCTTAGCTCTTGCTCTGTGCTACTCTTATTGGTCTGTTCTGCACTGTGACTGTGCCCCCTGGGGATGCTTCATGGGGGTGATCTTCTCCATCTTTTGGGAGCACCACATTTGAAGGATTTGAGCTTGCTGCATCAGTGAAAGGAGAGGGCCTTCTGAGCTTTCTTCAGCACCCCCCCAGCTGTGTATGAGCAAGCAGAACAGGATCTTTAAAGTAAGCATCATAAAGCATAACAGCATTGCTTGTAAAATATCCCTTTGCATATTGCATGGGAATCCTAATAGCACAGGGTCTGCACTGGGAATACATGCTGTGTGGAAATCTCTTGTGTTTAGTTGCTATTTTGGGATCTGGGCAGTCATAACTTCTTTCTTAAATCTATTCTGAAGTACTTGACTTTGTGTTTAGGGAGATGCTAAGTTGGTGCTGAAGTCTTGTCCACATTAGTTCAGTTCCATTTCTGCAGGGAAATCTGCTCCTACAACAAAATAGAAGAGTGTACAGAGGAGCCTGAGTGGGAGGAATAGGTTTATCCAAGTGTATTATGCAGTATTGCTCCTTTAAAAGCTGGAGGATCTGCGTCCCCCTTGCTGCACAAGAATGATGTTAGAGAGTAGGTTTGAGTTTGATTCCTGGTGAATTATAGAAAGAAAGTGCTCATGGCAGGGTTTGTGCTTATCTGCACTGCACTTTTTTTATGGTTTGTTTCTGTCTCTTATTGATTATAGCCAGGAGCAGTATCATTGAGGGAGCTTTAGACAAATAAAAGTATCAAAGTTGTGGGGTTTTATTTTAATTTTTTTCCCCCCAGTGCTCCAATAAGCACTGGGAATATTGCCTGCTGGGAAGGTTGTTCTCTTCCTTTTTTTTTTTGTTGCTAGACTGTGAAAAGTTCTCAGTCTATTTCATTGTCTTTCTGCCTTCTGCTCTGACTTATTGGCGTGTTCTGCTGTTCTTAATTGACAAGGAGACCTGCTGGTTTTGAGATTTTTCTGCAAACTGAGGTTTTCAGCATGATTGCTGCGGGATAAGGGATAGCAATGCTGGAAGACTGTGATAAAATTGCCCTGTAGATGGAAAGAAGTGATGTTAAAATACAACAAAGGTAGGGAGTCTCTTAAAAGTCATGTGCAGAGTTTTGCCTCTGGGCTAGCAGGAAAAATCCTGTCCGGTGATTATACAGTTCCCTCTTCAGGTGATAACTCTGTAGTGAGCTTTGGGGAGAAAGACAGGTAAATCCTTCTTCCTTGTTAAAAGCTGCCTTCGCCTGAAACTTTGTCTGTAGGCCTCCCAGCCACCTTGTTTGCTGTATGAATGACAAATCTCAATATTCTACTTTATGCCCACACATGACATGGGAGATTCCCTGGTAGGAAGCAGCTCTTCTGCTGGCTGTTATCACCAGTGTAGCTGGTTGTGTTTGAGCTGGTCCCTCTGCAATCAGTGGACAGATGCAGGTGGTTTCAGGACCCTGTGGTCCTGGCCTGGCTTACCTGTTGATTTTTGGGGTGCAAAGGGAGGCCAGTTCAGGTGTAGATGGCTGTACTAGGTGAGACAAATCACCCATTGCCCAGACAACTCTGTAACCCTCCTGGGCTGTGCCCTGTGTTAGAGGAGAGAACTCAGTGCTGGCTGCGTGTGTCTCTATGCTGCTTTTGTGTTTAGATAGGCACCCAAAGGTGCACCTGCTCACCAGCACTTCTTTCCTGTAGCAAGAGACCCAAGGAAATGCAGAAACCAGGGAAGGAGAGCTCTGTATGTCTTTGAAGTGCTTTCTGACCCTTTGGTGTCTGGAAAAGGCATTTGTTCACTGGTGCTGCTTCCTAAATGAGTCTGGGGAGCAGAGATGCTCCTGCAGAAGAGGATCCACGCAGCGTGGAGAGACAGGAACGCTGCTGCTGTCAGACTGTGTTAGGGCCAGGAGGAATGTGGTGGGTTTGTGTATGGCTTAGAGCTCTCTGCTTCACTTCCCACGAGTTTTACTTTGAGTTTGGGTGTGAGCATCAAACTTCAGCAAAACCAGGTCAGAAAAAACGCACGTGTAAGATAAGATTTCTTGTCCAACCTGTCCCTAGGTAGGCATTGACTCAGAAGAGCCTGGGATTGTGAAGAAGGCAGTTGTTAAAGCCTGAATCAGACCTGACTGTGTGTTTATGTCAGATCAGTAACAAAAAGGGATGCAGCGACTTTACTCCATGTTTTACCATGGTGACACTTAGCCTTCTGGTGCAATAGCATTTGCATCTATAGCATGGATGCAGGAGGACCTCAGGGGATCTTAGGTGGTGTTTGGGTAAACTCTATAAATGATGTGAAGCTACTAATGATGAGCAGATTTGCTCTGTTTCATTCAAGAGGCTATTAAGTAAAATTGGGAGAGGTTTTCATATCCTTCCAAAATGATTTGCGAGATCGAAGTATAGTTTGCACCCTGAAGAAGGAGGAAAGGGGCTTCTATCCTGTAGCCAAATCATCTTCCCAAGAAAGGGGAAAAGGTCAGGGTTGTTCATCTCCACTCCTCTTATCCTTGAGGAGCTTTAAGACAAGATGTCCCCCCTTCCCCACCACACAGAAAGCCTTAGGCTGCAGGAGCATCTTCAAAATCTCTCCTGCTGGGAGTTCTTCCATTTTGTGCAAAGTACTTAAACATTAAAATTTAACCAGAGAGTAAAAATGAGGCTAAGACTCATTCAGGGACTCAAACGTAGGTCTCTCATATCAGAGAGTGCCTATTAGTGCCTTTACTATTGTGGTATTAGATAAAAGGGAGGAAGGGGATGGGCTCGAGGAGGGTGGTGCAGTTGTCTGTCTGTGCCTGAGAATACGGTTTTTCGCTTCCTCTAGCTTTGATGTGCTTGTTAGAAAAGCAAGTTAAATCAAGCTTCTGCATTCAACAAAATAGGTATTTCATTTTGGTAAGAAGAAAGAAAAACACTTAGCTGAATCCAAGTCTCAATTTGACATACTGGCTTGACTGACGTTAGCTCTTAGTAGATGGCCAGTACAATTGTACTTATTTACTGTCCTAGAGTTGTCTTTCTGGGAGAAAGCCGGCCTGCAGCCTGCAACACTTTGGTTGCTATGAAATCACTTTAAGGCAGCACAGAAACCAGCTGATACTGATTTATTCAGTGGCTTTTGTAGCTATGAAATAGTACCTGGCTCTCTCATGGCTTGTTGCTGAAGGGTTGCTGAAGCTGAAATCCTTTGCACCTGTAGCCTGTCTGCACCCAAGGTCCCTGCTTGCTGCGGGGGGTGTTGCCTGTGCAGAAACGCAGGCTGAGAGTGCCATCCTCAAATGGAAGTTGTACAGCGCGGTGCGAAACTGTTAGAGACGGGGGCTCCTAATGGAAACAATTAACACACAACGTGACCGGGGTTATATAACCACTATGGCTTATTAAACAGCCTCACTAGAGGCAAGAAAGATGGGAGGCTGATGAAATTTTGGTATGCTACACTGGATATTTTCCTGTCTATTGAGCCAGCAATAACTAGGTCTTATTTACTTTTGGTGGGTGGTCACATAAAACTACAAACTCACGTCACACAAGGAAGATCTCTGCCATCCAGCTAGTGTGTCTGTTCACGTGTAGCCAGCTAGCTTTCTTTCCAGAAGTAATGCCTGTGACAAACTGTAAGACTTGCATGATTAAAATTGAATTTATTTTTGACCGCTTAATTTGTGTTTGGTTGGATGGTAGGGAGACAGGCAGTAACGCTGCAGACTTCTGTCATGTGAGTTCAAATTTTCTGCTTTTTTTATGTTTTCCTTTTCTCCTTCAGCACAGGTATAAAAAGTTGCAGAGGCAATAGGGAAGCCCCTAGCCAGTCCGTCGCTGGCTCACAATGTACAGGGGCTGGGCAAGGACCCTGCTAGAGGAAAAGAGTGATTCTCATCTACCAGAGTATGTGGCACGTGTTTTGGGAGGGAGGAACATGCAGGATTTTAAAACAGAGGCGTTTTAAGGTGCCAATAAATGCTTCAGAGGTCATTTTTGGAGGTGTCTTGCATCTGTTCCTTTCAGGATTTTGCTCCCTGAGTCCCACGCAGTTGGACTCATGCAGCCCAATTCAGTACTTGGTTACTTTGGTTTTATACCACTATAATACCATTGATTTAAATAGATTTTCATTGGCATAAAAGTGGAACTGCATGATAGTGAATCAACCATACAGAAAGCAAGGTAGTTAGCTTCACAGGCAGAATAAGAAACAATAAGCAAATTCTTTGCAACATTGCTAGCAAATATTCTCCTGAACAAGTGGCATACTTAGAATACATAAGCTGTCTAAAGACTTTCATTTGGTAGGTAACTTTCAGCAAAGCGATGTTCCATAAATCTGTTACTTTCTGCTGCACCAACTATGCATTGCATTTTACCCGCTCGTCTGATCTCCATTTTATTTGCCTGTACGTCTATGTATATATGAATATTTTACAACCATGCTTGAAAGGAATCACAGAAAGCTGTCTTATCTGCCAAGCACTTCTACATTTACTCAGGGCTTAATGGGGGCCAAGCAAATTGGGTCTCTTGCTACTTGCTGCATGTTTGGTATATCTAATAATTATTATTATTTTGAATATTTCCTGCAGATGCACCCAGATGGTACAATTGATGGGACCAAGGACGAAAACAGCGACTACAGTAAGAAAAATTATCCTGTTTTGCAACCCAATTACAATCAAATACATCACCTAGTGGGTCTTTATTTGGGGTGCAGCTTTATTTTTGAAAAGACCAAATTAGGAAGAAGCCAGCTGTTTTCTGCGCATTTTTTTTCTATCTATCCTTCCCCTTTAAATCTTGCCTGTATAATTTCATATGTTTCCTCTCCAATCTTCTTCCCTCCCACCCTGATTCTGTAACTGCCATCTGGGTGGGGTGGAGAATAAAACCCATGATTTGAATTGCTGCCAGAAGAGAAAGGAGATTATATTTATACACATGCCACGTGGGTAAAGGATATGGGGAATTCTCTCTCCAAGGAGAAGAGAAAATTGTTTTCACTATTTTATCCTGAAAAATTCAGCAAGCATCAGGAATTTCCAGGCTGGAGGAAACTAGCTGTTCACTAAAGTCTAGTGCTTTGAGGCTAGTGTCAAGGCTGAGGGTATCAAATAACCTTTCCAAAGGAGGTCATCTTCCAAAACCCTGTTCAAAGGGGTTGCATTCATGCTGTCCAATAAAGGACAGCAAAGTGCAGCAGAGCCACATAGGTTTAAAAATGATGCTTGTGTGCGGGGGCGATATTGGTTTAAACAAATGCAAAGCAGTAGCCAATATTTCTTTTGCAAAAGAAGTAGTTTTGTCAGTACCAAAGCTCCTCGAAAGGTTAAAAAAAGTGCAGGATATTTCCTACATCATCTCTTCGTTTCATAGGCCTCGGATTGATGCTTCTGAGAGGGCAGTAATAAGCTCAGATCCTTGGTGCCACGATCTGCATCAACAGAGTAGGACTCTAGTCTGATTTGGGTCATACTATGTTGGTTTGAAGCTTCCTGTGCTGCTGCTGAAGGGACATCTTATCTAGCCTGTCCAGCATGGAAGGTGTCTTTCCAGTCATTACTAGAGATGAAGAGAAGTTGATCTGTGTGGTAGGATTGATGGAAGCAAACTTTGTGTACTTTGTGAAAGGTGAAACCTACTTAATTTGGGGACAAATCTTGTTCTAACTCAAAGAAGCTCCTAGCTGGATCAAAGGCATCACTCCTTCAGGCAGGCAGGGCCTAGGCTGCAGGTGAGAGGTGTCTGCAGTGGTGTAGTGCCTGTGGCACAGCATGGACGTTGTCCTGTGAAGGTGCGCTTGGACAAGAGTGCAAGGTGGGTGCAGCTCCACATCATGGTGCTTGCCCCATCCCCAGGAAGCTGCCAGGGTGCTGTGGCGGGAGCGTTGTGTGTGATGGGGCTGCTCTGCTGCAGCCAGCTCAGGACTGGGGTCCATGGGTGGAGCAGTGCATGGGAGAGGAGGTTTGATATGATGTCAACTAAAATTGTGGGAGGCTGGCAAAGCCCTTGTGAAATGATGCAAGAGGCTGCATTCACCAGAAACTTGGCCTGTGGCCAATGCAAATGTCAGGTTTTAGTCCCCTTTTTCATATGCTGGTGCTGAACAAATGAAATACCACAAATTGCAATGACACAACTTCTAATTTACATTGGAGCGGGAGAACCTGTGGCCCTCCACACACACAGTTACTCCATGAGAGACTGAGCAGGTTTCTTCCTACAAGAAGAGTCTGGCCTTGTGATTTTCTCAGGCAGACACTAACACATGTGATGAGTTCAGTGGGCTTTAGTGGGTGAGTAATGACCCAGTGTTGGGTTGTATTAGCTGCTTTTTCTTAAAGAAAAAAGACATAGGGTGTTCTCAATCTGCAGAAAATCCCATTGGAGGCCTATTTGTCAAGGACATGGGAAGAGCTGCTAGAGATGACAGGGATTCATTACCATCATCTATCAGTGAGGACTGAACAACAAAGTAATGGGCTTAAATGGAAGCAGATATGAATTTAGGTAAACAGCAGAGGAGAATAAAATGTAAGAGCAGTTCTGCAATATTTCAGGCTGGCAGGGGAGATGAGGGAAACTGCCACTGTCTGCACCTTGGTGGGTGCAGGGGAACCTCCTGAGTCCCCATGATTGAGGTTGGGCCCCAATCACCCAAACAGCTCTTATGTATCCCATTAGAAATGTTAGAGATCAGTTTGGCAAGGTGCTGAGTACTTGTGAGCCACTTCCACCCAGTCTTAATTGGAAATAGATGGGCTGAAGAGCACTACTAGAGTGTAAATTTATCTGGTGAGATGGCAGCCCTGCCTTGGCAGCTTGGTGGGACAGGAGGCATCTAGCTGAAGTGTGCCAAGCCACTTGCTCGAAGTCATGGGCTATGTTGGAAAGTTAAGTGAAGCTTTTGAGAGAAGACTGAAGCCAAAGAATTCCCCATCCCCTGATCTCAGGGGATATCGAAAGAGGGAAAAAAAATCCAACCTGATAATATACGGCTCCTGAAAATGAAATAAATGTGCATTATTCAGTTTTGTTTAACTTTTTTACCACATACTATCCTTTTTATATCTTCAGTTCGAGTCAACATTTTATTATATGAAGCTTGCAGTTATAGCTTCAAAACAAAATCATCACTTTGGAAAAGCCAAAATAAAGCACACTATTTTTCCCTTTTCTGTTTCTCCAAACGTCTCAATTTTTGACCAGAAAAGTCAAAACTCACTTGTCTAAATGAACAGCTTACAGATATACTTCACTGATATTTTCTGTTTTAAAATATTTCTCCAGAAGATTCCTGACCAGACAGTCAGCAGTATGTGCAGTATTTCTGTGCAAGGGCAAAACTCATCAAAGACTGGGTAAATAATATTTTCCTGTCTCTGGAGAAGGGTTGGTTAACTCACATCCATTGGCAGAGAAGGGTGATCTTGATGGCCACAGCAGGATCTTTCCCACCCTGGATGACCATCTATTCTCCAGGCAGAAGCTGTCTTAGCACAGTTAAATACATGGTGAACACCGCGTTCTATACATTGGCTCTGTGTTCAGTAGCTGCATACTGATTATTCAAATTAGCATTATGAAAGGAAGCTTAATTTTCATGGAATACATTAGGTTGGTTTACTCTGGCAAAATAAACGTTTAAAATGAGACACGACATGTCCCTCAGATACATCTGATGCAATTAAAAGTTCTAATAAAAATCCAGTTATTTATATAAGAGGAACTGCTAATATTTAAGCAATTTTTAAATTAATTATCTGGTGCCCATTTTATGTGTGTTCTTGAGAGCCTGATGGCATTTATTTTCCACCTCCTCTCACTTAAAGAGAAAGAGAAAAAAAACCCCAGAAGCCAAGTTCTAATGGCGTTTGAATGGGCATCCAGCCAGCTTCCCGCGAAACAGCTCTTGGGACATCTGTTCCTTATACCATGCAGTTAAAGGCATGCCATCTTAATGTAAGCAAGAAGACAGATTCTCTGCCTACTTGCATTGGGATATATGAAGAATTTTCTTTTAATCGGAGTGCAGTTTCATGGTGTACAAGGCCCTTGTTTGTGTTCTTAGTAATGTTATATATGAACCTGAATTTGGGACAGTATCTTTTCCTTCCAGCTCCAGTGATCGCAAATGATCTTTCAGGGCTGACAGTTGCTGTCAGTGCTTGCATCATTATTGCTCTTTCCTGGGCTGAACAGGGTAATGCCCCTTCTTCATGAGAGCAACTGGACTTTATATCTGAAAAGCCTGAGCAAATGGACAGTACATAAAGGAGAGGTCAATTGTACTGACCAGGTGGAAAGAGCCCAGCATATCTAGGGCATTGTTTGGGGCTTTCCAGCCAGAAGCACAAAAAGATTAAGACCGAGGAAACCTCTGGAGGTCTCCAGTCCAACATTCTACTTGGAGCTGGGTTATCTTCAGCTGCACAGAGCCTTGTCTAGCTGTTTCAAATGTCTCCAGAAATGAGTTATTCCATATCTTCATAACCTCTCTGGTTCCAGTGCTGCATTGTTCTTATTGTGGAGAATTTTCTTTATATCCAGTCATTATTTCTTTCTGAGGCTTTTGTCTAGTGGTGCTTGTCATTTCATTGTGTTCCCCTAAGAAGAGTCTGTCTCTGGCTTTCCCTTCTTTGAGCTAAGCAAACCCAGCTCCCTCAGTTTCTTCTCTCATATATGTTTTACCACAGCCTCTTGATCATCTTGGCAGCCTTCCTCACTCCCCCCAGGATCTTAAAGCTCCCCATCTTGTGGTGCACCGAGGCTGCTGTTGCCTATTGCATCCTCCATTAGTTCTCCCTTAAGTGTAACACAAATGTCCTGGTCCACAGCACATCACCTGGAATAAACTAGTTTAGCTCCTCTGACTTACTGCTATTTAAATCAGCTGAGCATATGGACCACATCTTCTATATGGCATGTCTTGCTTTGCTCTTCCATTTCTGTAAATAAGTTAGCCCAGACTCATAGCCAAGTGTGCACTCAGATTTTAAAAACATGTTATGCAACTGATAAACTGCCATAACGTAACAGTGAACAACAGACTCGGGGCCAAAGCGTTTAGGACTGGAGCATGCTAAAAGTAGTATCATCAATAAGCAGGGTCAGGTGTAAATCTACTGATGGTTGAAAATGGTAAAATGTAATGAAAGAAAATATGCAGAAATATTCAGTGTCTTAATTTTTTTCTCTTCTGCCCATGAAGTAAAAGAGCATGCCCATTTCATGCAGTTGCAGATAGCATAGAAAATTTACCGTTTGCAGGGCAGAGAGTTTTAAAAGCAGTTGTTAAATTTTCTTTTTCATATCAGCACACCCTGTGGCCAGTCCTACTTTACCACAGCTAGTCCTCTCCCACATCTCTAAATCTGCTGTTTCACATTAAGCATAATTTTTTTTCCTGACAAAAAATGAGACATCTTGCCTTCAAGGCTGGTTGAGGGGTCCCCCCCCGCCCTCCCCCCCCCCCCCCGCTTTTTACATTCTTAAAATAAAGGTTATAAGCTTTGAAATCTGTTCCAAAACAAGATGAAATATTCGTTTGGAAGCATGATAACAAAAGGCTTGAACTTCTTCAAAGATATTTCTAGATTTGAGTACAGAAACAGCTCTGAGAATTTACAAAGTTTTGATTGACTGAAACCACTTTTTTGATAGAGGAAGACATTTGCTTCCTAAAACTTTTTTGGCTGTCAGTTACTGATGTCAGATACATGTCCTCCTGCTTTCTTGCTCTCTTGCTCCCCTGCTCTGCAGTATGTTGCAGGAGATGCTCTGCCATGCCTGAAAGCCATGATTGTGGGTGTTGGTACCGTGGTCAGCAGCAAGGTCCCAGGGAGTTTGGGAACTGGCAGAGGTCTTGCTACTCTAACACAGAGCACAGCAGGATTGTTCCCGTGCTCCCTTAGCGTGTATAGGTGGAGACAGAGAGAGAGATTTGGAGACATGTGGGTGCTTCTAAGTGGAACTTCTCACCTGCTAATTCTGGGTATTATCACCTCGCTGCCTAATGAATGCTTTGAATGGTCTGTCACAAGTTTTCTATGCAAGACAAATTGGCTGTAGGGAATGAATGATGATGCTCATTTTGTTTCGTTATTAGCAGTAATATGCTCCATTTTTCAGTGGGGGGGGTGAAATTAGGGAAGGGGAATTGCTTATAGACAGACTTGTTAATTGCAGAGGGTTTTAGACCTTCATGGTAGTGAGAAAGTGATAGAAATATAAGCTTGCCTTGGTTAGTGAGCTTTTCAATAGTAGAACTGTGCTGTAACAGCTCTGTAATGCTGAGTAGCTACACTGGGGCATGTTTGTCTCAGCTGGAGACAGTATGAGAGTAGCACCATCCTTGGCTCCAGTTGTTCACAGGCTGGACTTCATTTGCCATATACATCTGTTGACATCCTCTCACGAGATCACATAAATATAGGCACTGGCTTTGGTGAGACTTCAGCACACAGTTTGATATTTTACTGAATATGGTGCCTAAAGGCATGAAAAGGGGCTGGAGTAGGTTCCTCTTCACCAGACTCGGGTGCCTCCCTTTTAGGCAGCTCAGGGAGGGCAGTCATCCAGGCTTCCTTGGGAACTGAGTGAGGAAAAAAGAGCATTCATTTGCAAATGGGATTCATGAATTGCTTTTTGGAGACAACCCTGAAACCAGCTCAGCCAGAGCACCTGTTAGGTATATCTTGAGCAAAGTGGCTTTGTCTCCTGTGCTTTTTTCAAGTTTTATTTCTGAAAAGGTATCCACCTCTGACCTTTAATTGAATCCACCAAGAGTTGAGGTCGAGGTAACCAGTTTCCTGTGACATTTCGTACACCCTTTGGGCTCTGCTTTTTCTCTTAGAAATTGTATGACTCCTGGGACTTTGGTTCTGACTTTGTAGTCTGAACCACTGGCTGCAAGGAAAGAATCAAGCAATAGTTTCAGTTCCTTCCCTGCCCCCCATTCTCTCCATGTTGGCTATAATTTTTTTTTTCCTTTGGAAAGGAATCGAAACACACTTCTGTTTCCTCCTCTCTGTAATAATTCACAGGCTGTACATGAGGGAGATTCTTGGAAAGCATGTTGTGGTTGAGTTAAATCCATGCATTACCTGGCATGTACACATGTAACCAGTCTCATCGGGGTGGGGGGTTGATGTTGAGCTGGACTCCATTCCCTCCCATCATTCCAGGATTAACACTAACCTGGCCTGAGGAGCTATAGAATTTTGAATAGGCCATTTCAGCAAAACCTGCTTTATCCTTCAGGGCTAATGTTAAATCAGCAGTGGCCCATCACCCAGGGAAGGAGAGGCTGGGAGATGGCAGAGTGAGAAGGAGGACTGTTTTTCCTACAACTGTAACATGAAGACCCCTTTGTGCTATCTTTGCTCCAATTTGATGTGTCAGGCATAAAACTTCATAAATGACCTATAAAATGGATCAGCTAGAGGATGATGTCCTTAAAGGTCAGCTGGAAAATAGGAATGTTTCACTGTGTGCTCTGTCACTCAGTCTTTCCTCTGCACTCTCCCCATTAACAGATCTCCCCTGGGCTAATTAGGACACCCCAAAGCTCTTGAAGTTTTAAGTAGTCTTTTGCAAATAAGTAAGCATGTTAAAAAAGCTGTAAGAAATGCTTCATGAATGTGGAAGGGGCAGTCTGACCTCATGACTAGGGAACTAGAAAAAATATTCTTGTTTCAGGGCAGTTGTGCGGGAAGGGACCTTGAGTGAAGTATTTCCATTGTGTTTGTGCTCATGTTTCTGCCCAACCCTGTGCCTGTCTTTCCATAGCCAGAGCTCCCTGGGACAGGGTCTAGTTAGCTCTTTGTAGGCTGAAGCATGAGGGGTCCTACAACATCTGGATACTCTTGCCCTATAAATCTCAGTGGAAACAAAGCCATGCTAATGCCTCAGTGCTCAGTATATAAATGGTGACAGTCCTCTCCTATTTGGGCCCATTCTGTTAGAAATGTAGCAAAAGCCTGACTGTATGTTAATGTGTGTGCTCATGGGAGAGGTCTTTCAATGAGATACAGGGTCTACTTGGAATCGAGCATTAAAGTAAGTAATTGGGAGGAAGTGGTTGCAATGCTTTAATCAATAAGATTGCAGTAAAACTGAGCATTGAAAGGTCTTGTCCTCTTCCGTCCTATCTAGTGCTGCTTCTGAATGAGGAGCAGTGGTCTGGTCCTGGAGCAGAGCAGTATCTCTTCGGAGTTTCTTCATTCCCTTGACAGCAAGGATCACAAGGGCAGACACATGGTCAAGTTAATTTGCATCCTTCTGGCTGTGGTCGCTGTCTGTATACTCTTTTAGCATATGGCAAATGCAAGAAAGTGTGACTAGGCTCAAATCTGTTTCAAGGAGAACTAAACTAAGTTGTGTTGTTGCATTTGCCACGGGCACAGACGTGTACATGTGCAGTTACCACAGCTCAGCTGGCCCATGGAAAGCTGTTGAGATGTGCTAGCTTGAGTGCACGTACAAGCCCTTGGCATTGCAAAGGCAGTGATCAGACAGACTGATGGGTGTGTTAAGGCTTCTGGGAGGCAGCCAAATTCAGTACTTCTAAAAATTTGCTTTCACCATTGGCCCCATGGCTGCAGACCTTTCCTGTAGCTGGAAGCAGGACTTTTGATTCTAGTTCAGTATCTTTTGTTAAGAGTCAGGTGTGGAGCGGGCTGGCCCTGGGGCAAAAAGCAGTAGCGGCCACAAAGGGTGATGTTGCCATAACCTTTGCTTTTCTTTTCCTTCTGCAGCCCTTTTCAATCTAATTCCTGTGGGTCTTCGCGTGGTGGCAATTCAAGGGGTGAAGGCAGGTCTGTATGTTGCCATGAATGCTGAGGGATATCTCTACAGCTCAGTAAGTACTTCGTGCTGTTGGGGATCCTGGAGTGGTTTGGTTTTGTACGTGGGAGGGAGGAGACTGCATTGGGACTTGCAGCTTTTTCTGAAAATGATCACAATGCTGCAAACTTTTAAAAGCAGGAACGGGGGGAGCTACTGCAAGGCCATGCAATATTCACTTTAAAGTGTCTCCATGGAGATTCATGGCAATATTTCCTGACCTGTGAAGATACACTTTGTGTTCCTTTGAGTAGTTATTTAATGTAGGTCATGTTGTAGAGGAGGTTGTGTGGTTGGCTGGTTATATTCTGGTTTCACATTTGTGAAATGGCATGGACTGAATGGAATTGCTTCAGAATTATTCCCGGATAACTGATCATAGGTGGTGCCCCAATGGGTCATACTCTGCTTTTGACTGCAGTGTAAATCCACAGCAACACACTGACTTCATTAAAATGGTCCTGGACTGTTCTGTTGGCAGAGTGCTTCAGCGGAGCAGAATTTCCCTGTATTTGTGTGGTCTTTTTAATGCACATAAAAGATAAGTGGGGCATTTTTTACTGACTAATTCCCCTATAACTTTCTTAGATGGCATGAAAGGGCATGAGGTTATTCATAAGATTCTCATTTGAAGTAAGTAATTGATTTTCACAGTGAATAATTGATTCAGTGATTTATTAAATATGGCAGCCCTTTGCCAGAATTTTTTATGCTTCAAATAACTTTGCTCTAGTTTTACATAGTAAAAGTGATAGTTAATAATACACTTCTCATTTCTGTAGTTCTGATACCTTTAAAGTGTATAGCTGAGATTTTAATCTCATCTGCCTTTGTGTAAGTTTACAGTGCAGCGATTCTACTCTTGTCTAGGCGTTTATTTTGCTTTAAAAGTGTATGTGAGATTGGAGATAGGACCATTGAAAGGACAACAGTCCGAGTTGCTCCTACGCAATGTTTCCTAACTCTTAACTTCCTAACTCTTAACAGCGCTCACATGGTTGGGATTCCCCCTTTCCTTTGGGAGGTAACAAAGCTCTGTCTCCCCAGTGTCTCAGGGTAGAAAACAGCAAGTGGATGTGTTAGTATGCCTGGCGAGAGAGGTCTCAAAACTGGCTGCTTGTCAAGAAGAGACAGAGAGATCAATCTGGATCTCTGTGGATGCCAGACGCTTCCTGTTCTTTCATAGCCCAGTAAACATAAATGACTGCTTCTAAATAAATTACATTGGTTTACTAACAATGAAAACCTCCTCTTTTTGTAAAGCTATTGGAGTCCTAAAGGTAATACCAGGCATGGTGTGGTACTGAATTATTGTGCCTGCTTCCCTTTAGGCACATAGTCGGGGTGTCAGGACTGATGTTTTGCCCTATGTTTGTACAGCACTGGGCATAAAGGGGTCCTGGCCTGGCGCTGAGGCTCCTCGTACCACCGGTGCCCCGTAAATGAGGACTGCAGGAAAGCAGTGTGTGTCAGAGCCACATCCAGGCTGGGTGGGTCTTTTTGGAGCAATGAGGGGTAGCATTTTCTGAACAAATAGTGCAAGGGAGGGAAAGGTGTGGGGCTCAGGCAAAAGAAATGGAGAGGAAACATGATGTTTGACAGCTGAAAGATTAGAGATGATGCGGAGGAAAAGGATCTCTTGCTAGCAGTAGTGAGACCATGCAAAGGGTAGGAGGGACATACCAAGAGCTGGTGGGCAGCAGGAAGACCACATGTCCAGGAAACACATCTGCTGGTCATGAAGTTTCCTAAAAGACACCAGATCATACATGTATTCAAATGAGGGTGGTTTAATGAGGCCTGCTTATTCCCACCAAGTGTGCCTATCGAATAGGAAGGTTAATCAGGTCAGGATGCACCATGATGGCCAGTGGTTAATGAGGTGGACCTCATAACATGCCATGGTTTGATGGCATTCAGCTCTGTCTGAACTAATCAGAGTTAAACTGTTCATTTCATCAACATGATGTAGGGTTTCTGCTTGCAGTAAATGGATGCTACTAGCCCCTCTCTAAGCCAGGGAGATGGAGCTCGCTGGACCCAATTTTCTTCTTGTATTGACTGGTGGCTCTGTCTCTGTCTTACAACAGTAAATCAATGAATTCACTGTGCTTTGGAGCAGACACCAAGGCAAAAGAAAAAAGAAAATTTGTGGATAAAGGAGTAGGGAGTGTAGGTCAGGCCACTCATATCGTTAAAGACAAGGAAAAAGACCAGGGTCCTACAAGAGAATTGGATATGCCTGAGGAGAGCTCAGCCTGTTCAAGCAGTCTTTTTTGGATGCTGCAGTTTTCTTTGTGGGGCCGGGATCCCACTCCAAGACAACATTTGGCATGGCTGTGTCAGTCTCAAAGACTGTGCTGGAGAATTGCTTTGGAGGGACTTGACAGTCTGTTCCTCTCTGGGGTGAGCAGGGCCCCCGGCTGTGCCGCCTGGACCTGAGTGCTGCCCACACCAAAGGACACATCGTCCCTGTTTGCTTAGCAGACCCTAAACTACTGCTTTGCTCTGTCTCAAGCCAGTTTCCTTTGGTCTTGTGCATGTACCTATTTTTTTTATTGTCTTTTCTGAAGGATTTCTGAAAAAAATGGGTCAATATTGCTCATAGGTATTGTTCACTCATGCAGGTCCATTGATAAAGGAATAGTTTTTGCTGCTTGGCTGCCTCCCCTGCTGTCTGTCCCAGGCCTAGCCCTGCTAGGACTTCTTATAACACCCTCAAGCCCAGGACTGCTTTCAGATAAAATGTGACTGTCCAGGGAAATGTTGGTTTGTGTGTGTGTTTGTTTTTTTCCCTCCTCTTGAGCCCAGATTGTGGCTGTAACTGAACACATCACTGTGGGTTTGTTTTGTTTTTGTTTGGTGGTGGGTTTTTTTTTGGTGCTATTTAATCTGTGTGCGTCAGCTGAGACCTTGGCTGACATCCTCTGCCCTGGATCAAACCAGAGGCTATTATCAGCCTGGTCTCAGATGGTTTGTGCCAGCTCCTTCTGAGTTTGGGCCAATGGGCTCTTGAATGAATGGGTTTAGAATAACCAGCCCTTGGAAAAAGTCTTCCTAGTGCCAGTCAGCACAAAAGCAGGGCTGAGTGGGGTCCTCTAAAGCCAAACTTGGTGAGAAGGCTCTTTGCAGGAACATGAAAGACCCTCCTATGTGCTTGGCCACATTGATACCTTTAGCAATGAGTTTCCTCATGTATTCTGTTAGTTAGGGATGCGTAGGGACAGTGTGGGGTTGGGCTGCTGGGTTAAAGCCAACCATAGATCCCTAGCCAGCTTCAGAGGCCTAAATGCATTAGATGCCAAAGCCCCTTTGCTTGAGAAGCAGCTGTTTATGACTTCTGTGCATTGTTTACTTACGCTGGATACCTGATTTTTTTTTTCCAGACTAGTTTATTGGTACCTCTGAGGTCTGCTGGGGAATTAGGTGCTTAGTAGGCAAGAAAATCAGGTCTTGGTCTGAAGTACCTGGCTTTGCAGACAGTAGGATGCAAAACACTGTCTTCATAGCAAGCTTGCAGAGTCATTAGTTTGTTCCCATTAGATTTCTTGTAATGTAGAGCAGCTGTAAATTCCCTGATGGTGCACAAAGGTTTTTATCAGCACCTGTTCTGGGGAGTGACATGACTCTCCTGAGGATCCACTGTTAGCATTTTATGCCAAAGTAAAAATATACAGAATGAATGAAGGGCAGTGGGTATTACTTGTACTGTCTTAGTGCATGGGAAGCTGAGACCAAAGGCTGGTTGTTGCAGAGGAGAGGGAAACAGAATGAAGAGGTACGTCCTGCTCCAGTGAGTTTACAGCCTAATTGTAATGGGAAAAAGACACAGAACATGCTCTCCTGTCTCTGTCTGGAGTTAATAGTTTCACCACCAAATTAATCCCTACTCCTGTATAACCTTTCTCAGTGAAATTTCTCTCCTTGGTGCCCAGCTTTGTCTCCCATTACCCCTGCTGCCACAACTCACAGGGGCGGCAGGGGGAAGGGAGCATCTGTGAAGTATTTTGCCTGAGAGGCAAACCTGGTTCTCCTGGAGCAGGAGACTGCTGTCATGGGGCTGTAGAGCCTCCACAGGCCCACCCAATCACTCCAAGAACACTGAAATTGCAGCTCTCAATACCATGATATGTATAATTCAGTGGCATTACAGCTGGGATTGGTTTTGCCCCAAGTGCATAACACTTCTAAAATGTACTGCTCTCAGATATTCCTTGTTGTTTAATGCAGCGTTCTAATTATTTTTGAAATGGCAAATCGTGATACATAATTTATTGGAAAGACTGAGAAAACCCTAGCAGAGATATAGAATACAGAGGAAAAAAATGGGTCGCTTATGAGAGCTCAGTATGGTTTTACAGTACAAACCTGTGAGTTTGAAATGCTGAAATTAGAGCTTGAATCACTTCAAAGATTCCTGCTAATAAGGGAATGATTATGCACAATAAAAAAATCTAAACAGCATTGAAAAAAACCCAAGTCACGTTAAGAGCTCAGTGTGTCTTTGCATTTTCTTTTTCTCTGCTTTTTTTCTGCTCTATCATTTTGCATAATAATAAACAAGCATCTGGGGAAGTATGTATATTAACTGTATTTTTTAATCTGCTTGCAATGCTGTAACTATTTTGCTACAACTCCTCTAGGGTTGCTGCACTCTTATTTACATCATTTCAAGGTCAGGGGCTGGAATCAATAATACTGCATTCTCTCCCCTAATAGACATGGGGGGTTAAACCTGCTCCTGCCAATGCCCTTTTTTTAATTCCTATTTGACCTCCAGTGGTGCTAGTTGATTTGGTCAGAAGTGCAGATAGGCCAGGCAGGTATCCTGGACGATTCCCTTTTACAAACTTTGCAAGCAAGCACACTTGCTGGGGTGATTCCCTAGTTTACATGCCTCATTAGGGAGCCAGGTCAGTGGAGAGAAAGAAATGTCTCCAAAGGCAAAGCACAGCAGGAGCCTGATGTAATGTGCTTTTAATTTCCCTCCAGAGTATCTATTCTTCTTCATTGGCT